TCAGTTATCAACACTATTCCTTTAATTATATTAAAACAAAGTTATACTTTTGCGACAAACAATTTTGCTTTCATTTAAATGTTTAAAACAAAAACGAAAACGGTAAAGTCAAAAAGGAAAAAATTATTAAAATAAACAACATAACTTCTATTGTTATTTTTTCCTTTTATTTAATATTTCTGATTTCAAATAGGCATGTATACACTATATACACGCACATTTTTATTCTACAACTTCCTCTTACTCTATACATTTTATGTTAATAGATTTTCATCCGGTTCTTTTTCCCGAATTTGCTTTTGTGTAGCATTCGTCAAGAAAATTTCGTGATACCTTCACTTTCATTATTTTTGCTTATTTTATTCTACTTTTTTTTTTTTTTGCAAACAAAAACTTTCCTTTCCTTAAAAAAAAGCCTAAAAGTCTTCATTTTGCGACACAATAAATGAATGAATTCACCCCTTTTAATTTTTTTCACTTGACTCCTGAAAAACTTTTACACAGCACAAGTTAAAACAATATTGAAAAAAAGAAAAATGAAATGATTTGATGAAAACATAAGTATAGCGTGGGAGACACAAAAATAATTTTAATAAAATATTAATAATGGCATAATGGAGAAAGGTTTTCAAACATATCAATCATAATTTATCGCTTTTTTGCACAATTCCATTTAAAATATAGAAAAAAAAATATCCATTTTATGAGTCTATGTGCAAATGTTACATATGCTATACACACGTATTGATATTGGAATTTTCAAGTTGTCTAAAACAAAAACCAAACAACAAAATATAAGGTCTCATATGTTTCATATCCTAGAGACCATCATAAAATAAAACACAAATCTCAATTTTATTTATTAGGAAAACAATTTTTTTTCATATTGCTTATAAGATATGAGTATTATAAATATCTACTTAGATAGAATGTAACACAGTAGTAGAAAAAATTTTTGGAATTCTCTTAAAATAGACAAAAAATTTGTTAATATTTTTTTTTTTTTGAGAAATAGTTACTTGTCTTTTCGACTATGTGTTTTAAACATTCAATTATTTGAACTTCTATAATTTGGGTTTTGATCGTCTTAATATCGAGAATTTTATTGTGTTTTTTACATTAAAATTTTTTTCTATTCCAAACTAAGTTATATTCGAAATATAGAAGTTTCACTGCAATAATTTCTTAAATACATATCTATATTTAAGTACATTTAAAATACTTGATTATTATCAAACAACAAAATATAATCCTTAACATATCATTTTAAGTTCCTGACATTTACGAATAATCCAGTCCAATTACACTTATTCATCACCATTATAAATTTTACACACTAGAAAATTCAATGTTTTTTTTATCAAAAAAAATTTTTCTTTTAGGTCAGAAACAAAAAAATATTACCAGTATTTAAAACTTTTTGTTTTTTTGTAATCGAAAACCTGAAAATCTAATTTAGTCCTAAATTTTTTAAAACAATTTACTTTCAACAATTTAAAATTGACTTTTGATACATTCTAACCTTTATAATATAATAGCTTGACCTCTATCACCTATTAGAAAAAAAAGTTGATTATTTTAAAAAAAAAATTTAGATTTTTTTATATTATTTTTTGTTTGTTCTCCAAAACTTTTTTTTTTCGAACCCCTATCAAAAGTTTTCTAAATTTCAAAAAATAAAATATATTGTTTACATAAGGTTTAGTAAAGGTTTATACATAGAAAAATTTAGCTATACCAATCATAAGGATATCTCATTGAGTATATGGGCACATAAAAAGCGTATATGTGAAAAGTCAGAAAAAATATAAAGTTAGCGCTGTAATTATAAAAATATTTATACAAGATTCTAATAACGAAGTAAGTTCTAAAATTTGAAATGCATTTCTTATATTTGTCAACTTTGTATTTCAAACCAGAGAATTGAAAACTGAAATTATTAAGATTATAGAGAGAACATCTCATACAATATGAAGTATGTCGCACAATTCCTCTCATGAGTAAGAAAAAATGAAAACATAATGAGGCTTATTCTGAGTTTTAAATCACTAAGTGATAAAATGATAATTATCATAAAAAGTTCGATTTCATTATTGCAAACACAAACTAATTCATACAAATGGTTTGTGTCTATGATAAAATTCAATTATTAAAATCCCAATATCAATTTCTATTATTCTCACATAGCATTTTAAAGCATAAAAATACTCGCAAATTTGAATATTTATAAAAAAAATTTTTTTTTTTTAATTAAAGGAAAATTGTCACTGTAATATCTCTTATTGAAAACTCTTATTATTTACTATTACTCTTATATCACTCTTGTTATTACCAAAACTGACATTATTGGGAAATTTCAATCATTATACTCTACTTGACTTGATAATGGTTATATATTTAAATCACAATTAGCCAACATTATTATGGTTCCCGTCCTTTTAAGAGAAATTTTACTGTCATAAATAGTTTAAAATAACTCAGAATAATTACCGTAATAAATTTACTCTGAAATTTTACTCATATGACGTGATAAATTTAGTACAAATAATTTTTAACTTAAAAAATATTTATTCCCTAATATTAAAGTAGTAAAATATTAAAAAAACCGCGAAATAAAAAAATTGTATTTAATAAATGAAAGTCACAAAAAACTTTGAATTTTGAATATTTTTTTTTTCGCGAAACGTTCTACTTCTTCTCCCCTACTTCTTTATTGTAGCTTGCAATTTTACTATACCGCATAATTGCTTTCATGGAAATCATTCATGAAGAAGAACGCTCATTCCGTTTTTTATTTTTGTTTTTTATTTTCATGATCTTTGTTTTTTTCTTTTTTATATTTTTTATTTTATTTCTTCCGTCACATATTTTCTTTCCACATAAATTTTCAATATTAAAAAATCATTTTGTATTTTTCTTTGTTTTTTTTTTTTTTGTTATTTATTTCATCATATTTGTTTAAATGATGTGAAAGTAATTGTCATTTTTATTGTCTGGTAAATTTTTTTAAATTGAATCAATGAAATATAAAAATCAAAAAAAAAAACAGAATATTTTTTTTTACAAAATTGGCTGAACTATATTGGAATAAATATATACGATTAAGCAATAACCTTAAAGATAAAAGCATTTTTGGCAGTTCCATTTCCAAAATTTTCATTTTACGCTTGATTAGTTTATTTCGTAAATTTAATATGAAGCTTAATATAACCGCAAATAAAACAGAAAAGCTGTTTAAGTGGAAAAAGAAACGGGATCAATTTAATTTAGAAAATAATAAAATCAACAATTTTTATCAATCTGAGAATCTTAACCAATTAAAATATATTAAATAACCTAATGGTGATTTAAATTATTGAATGGCGGAAGATTACTTTAATCATTAAAAAAAGGACCAAAATTTATTTCAATTATAAATTATATACGAGCTTAATTAAACGAATTTCGTTTTTCAGAATTTAGAACTAAAAGCAAATTACTAAACTCAAGAGTACTAACAAACAATTATTGAGTGTAGCTACTAGATGTTTTAAAATTTTTTTGAAATATTGAAGAAAAATAATTAAAAAATTTTAATTAAACCAACAAATGAGGTAACAAGAATAATCTAACAATAATAACCTATGTAGTGAAGTAAATATTAATTGCATACTTTATGGGGAAATCAAAATTCGAAAATTGAGCAAATTTGTTTTTGATTTTATACAGTTTACTTACTAAATTAATTTTAAAATTTTGAAACTGAAATTAAAATTTATTCTTAAGAAAGCGCTTTTTTAATAGACCTAGAGGTTTTCCTACATTATTGTGTATGAAATCAGAAAAAAGCAATAATTTTTAATAAAATAAATCAAATTTATTTTTAAATCAGTTCAAAATTCATTTTTAAAATATATGAAAATACTACTATTCCCTTAAAGAAACATAAAAATTCGCAAGTATTACACACATATCGAGTATATAAAACAAATAATTCATTGTTAAATTTCTTATACGATAAATCTAGTATATTTTTTAAAATGCATATTTCAGATGATCTTTAAATTTCAATTTTAATAATGAATTTCATTTAAATTAAAAATTTATAATTAAAAATGAAATTTTTTTTTTATGAAATTTACTTGAAAATTACTTTTTTAATTGCAGTGTCCAAAATATTCACAATCAGGAAATGAGATTTATTTATTTTTTTTTAAATCAATAACTTTTTTTTTTCTTTACCGTGCAAAAAAGGACATTATCATACATTAAAAAAAAATACCATAAATGACATTCGTATGTACATAATATCACAAACATCTACATAAATACAAATATTTTTTTTATATATCACTATTAATAAATCTCAAGTTCTTTACGTACACACCCCCTTCTATCAATACGTGCATTAAAATTTAAATTAAAATTTTTGGTTTGAAATGAAGTTTTCTACATGCGACTGGTTACAATAAAAATATTTTACGTTAAAAGTCAATAACACAGTTTATCTTTATTTTAAAATAGATTACATGTACATGGAGCTTTTATTTGGAAATATTCTTTTATAATATAAAAATATAAGAGGGATTATAAAATCAATTTTCCATTTAGAATGTGCGGAACATAATATTAATTGCAATTTTGTAAAATTTTGAAGTATCATAAGTTTATAAATTTATTGATTGCTAAATATAACAAATGAATACTGTAAATTTGAGTATTAGCAACTCTAGAAGCTGTATCAATAGAAATTCGATATAAACATAAGCTTAATTCATAAAAAACTTGTATTCAAAAAGTTTAGTTACGTATGGAACAGGACAGAATACAACATCTAAGGTTGAGTTCTATGAAATATGTAACAAAATATCTTATTAGTGTCGGCAGAAATAATTGCAAAAATAAACCCCTAAGTCTCTTTTTTTAAATGATCTAATTTCGTTTTTTTTTTTTGTATTTGATTCTATTTTGTATTTTAACTATTTTATAACCCAATTTTCTCCTTTTTTATATTCTTTCAGCATATAGAAAATGTCAATCAAGTGATGTATTTTGTAATTCACCAACTGGTATAGCACCTGTTGGAGGACGTTTATCTGGTCCTTGTGTACCAAAAGAGAAACGCTGTGATGGTTATTTTGATTGTCGTAATAAAAAGGATGAAGAAGGATGTCCTGATATATCATGTCGTTTAGATCAGTTTCGTTGTGCAAATGGTCAAAAATGTATTGATGCTTCATTGAAATGCAATGTAATAATGAAAATGAATTTTCCTTTCTTTATTATTCTTTTAATTTTTTTTTTTAACTTTCTTACTATTATCTAGTATATTGAACTTATTACACCTGTATTATACAAAGTTATTTAAAGGTTACTTTTTTTTATATTTATTTTATTCAGCATAAAGACGATTGTGGTGATTTATCTGATGAGCAAGGATGCAGTAAGTTGAATAAGATTTCATTTTCTATTTTGCTGTATAGAAAAATATATTTGTATCTTAAATTTTATTTACATATATATTCGTGCTTTGTATAACAAAAAAATAAAAGTTGTTTAAAAATTTATTTTGGATATTTTAGACAACAAAGAACAAAAAAGCAAAAAATTTTATTTCAATTTTAGTTAAAAAGTTCGAAATTATTATTTTTATCTAGTACGTCAAGACTTTAATTCTAAACGAATTTTATTCGAAAATACTTCAAATATAATTTTTTATCCAACTTGATGTCATTGGCCTTAACTATATATAAAGGCCAATCAAATTACCGTATGAAGCTTTTAAAATTACACTATATAAATTTAATTAGTGTTCTTAATTCTATTTTTCTTTTTTCAAATTAATAGATTTTCCACAATGTCATAATGGACAATTTAGATGTGTCAATGCCTTATGTATACCAGCTAATTTTTACTGTGATGGTTATCATGATTGCGCTGATCAAAGTGATGAAGCTAATTGTACAGCAATAGCATGTCCTGATAATAAGTTCCTTTGTCCCAAAGGTGGTGTTAATGGTGTACCAAAATGTATACCAAAAACTCAGTTATGTGATGGTAATCGAGATTGTGAAGATGGAAGTGATGAAGAGACTGCATGTTGTAAGTATATAAGAAAGATTCATATTCTACTTTATTTCGATTTAATATAATCAATTCCAAATTATCTATAAAGGAGAATTGAATGAAAGTCCTTAATTCAATAAATACTCTTATTTAGATAAATTTACACCGAAAACATTTTATAGTCCTCTAACTTTACATAAGTAAAAGTCTTTAAAAAATACTTAAAAGAAACCTTGGAAGATTTACTTTTTTCTAATACATAATTTTCTTAAATCATTTGAACGATTAAAAATTAATGAGCTTCAAGTACTAACGCCCCCAATGATTAAATTCAATAAATAATATTTTATTTCCAATAAAATCTTTAATCATTAAATATTTTCCAAGTTTTCAACTATTGTTTTAAATCACCAGTCTGAAATAAAAAGTCATATCATGACCTAATAATAATGGCAATAATTCTTTAAATACCAGATCAGACTCCTTAATTTAGCAAAAATTAGTTTAGAAGGAAAAATAAATAAGACATTACGTCTTGAAATTCACCTTCCAACATCAAACTCATTTAACAACTTTATACACAACATAACAAAAACCCAAAATCATCAATATTAAATATATATAAAAATATATAAATATATATGTATGTGTATATCTCCATCTATAATGTTTGTAAGGATTAATGAAAAGAAGCTTTTAGTTATTAAATTTTATGAGTTGTATTTAAAGTCGTTATTTTCACCAAAACAGAAAAACCTTTCTAATTTTTATTAAGTAAAATCTTATTTCAAGGTTATAATGTCCTACTTAAAAGAAAATCCTTATTGATTTTCCTTTTATAATAAAAACGAAAAAAAAATAAAAGGTTAAATTTGTTTTCTTTCATATAGCAACTGTATCGTGTCCGGTATTAAATTGCCAATACGATTGCCGGTCATCACTTACGGGTGGTGTATGTTTCTGTCCACCCGGACAAGCATTATCAACTGACCATCGTAGTTGTATGGATTTGGATGAATGTGCTGAATGGGGTCACTGTGATCAATTATGTACAAATACAGAAGGTTCTTACACATGTAGTTGCGCAACTGGGTATGCACTAGTCAATGGTTCAAAATGTGCTGCACAATATAGTGATAAATTACAACTTATATTTGCACATGATCGTGAAATTGTACAAATGTCAGGTCAGGGAAATAACCCGAAAACACTTGTAACGAATGCTATAGGAGCAAGCGGTGTGGCTTATCATTATTCTAGAAACCTTCTCTACTGGTCAGATATAAAAACTAGGAAAATTCAATCAGTTGTTTTAAACCAATTTGAACCAACAACAAATCCAGTTGACTTAACATTACCTGGAACATGGGCACCAGTTGCTCTTGCAATCGATTGGGTTGGAGATAAAGTATATGTAGCCGATTTTATTGGACAAAAAATTGACATTTTTGAACTGTTTGGAAAATGGCATGCTGTCGTTCTAGGATCAAATTTAACAAGTCCAGCAGATATTGCATTAGATCCAACATCAGGTTTGATGTTCGTTGCAGATGGTGGCCAAGTTTTAAGAGCTCATATGGATGGTACTCATGCTAGGTCAATTGTATCTGAAGCAGCTTACAAAGCTAGTGGTGTTGCTGTCGATATAATTTCTAAACGTGTTTATTGGTGTGATTCATTATTAGATTATATAGAAACTGTAGACTATGAAGGTAGTCATAGAGTAATGGTTTTAAGAGGCCAACAAGTTCCAAGCCCTTCAAGATTAGCATTGTTTGAAAACAAAATTTATTGGACAGATGCGACAAAACAAGGAATAATGTCTGTTGATAAATTTAGTGGTTTATCATCAATCCAATCAATATATAAAGCAAAAGATATACGTGAACCAAAGGCTATTGTTGCAGTTCATCCTTTGAACCAACCGAAAGTACAAAATCCTTGCGGTAATAATAATGGTGGATGTGATCAACTATGCATTGTGACAGCGGTCAAAGGTGCTCCAGCTAACTTAGGTTACAGATGTGCATGTCAAACTGGCTGGCAACTTTCCAAAGATTTAAGAAACTGTCATTTAGTTCAACAGTTTTTAATGTATTCACAGCAAAGATTCATAAAAGGAAAAGTTTTAGAACCAGTTATCGAAGGTTTTAGTGATGCAATTTTACCAGTAGTTTCACGAAGGGCCAGATTCGTTGGATTAGATTTTGATGCACGTGATGAATACATATATTATTCCGATGTGTTACAGGATGTTATTTATAGAGTACATAGAAATGGAACAGGTCGTGAAATTGTTTTAGCCTCACAAAATGAAGGTGTAGAAGGGTTGGCAGTTGACTGGGCATCTAAAAATTTGTATTATATTGATAGTCGTAAAGGTACATTAAACGTGCTATCGACTAGAAACGTAACATATCGAAGAACTTTATTAAAAAATTTAAAAAGACCACGTGCTATAGTAGTGCATCCGAACAAAGGTTACATTTACTTCTCAGAATGGGATCGTCCAGCTAATATAACAAGAGCTAACACAGACGGTTCCAATTTACTTGTTTTTAAAAATGTCACACTGGGTTGGCCAAATGGTTTGTCAATTGATTTTAAAGCAGATCGTGTTTATTGGTGCGATGCTTTATTAGACCATGTTCAACATTCAAATTTGGACGGTACTGATATTAAAACAGTAAATTCACGACTTGTTAGACATCCATTTTCAATTGTAATACATGAAGACTGGATGTATATAACAGATTGGCGTTTAGATGCTATAATAAGATTGCACAAATTAACTGGGGAACAAGAAGAAATGATGGTTCGTGAACCGCAAACAAACCGATTATATGGGGTTAAAGTTTATAGTCATGAAGTTCAAAGAGTTGATGCATCACAACCTTGTTTCAATCATAATGGAGGTTGTCAGAAAATATGTTTTGCAATTCCCCATAACGAAACAAACATTCTAGAAGCGAAATGTTCTTGTCCCTATGGCGAACGCTTAGCTGATAATCAAGTATCATGTGTACCTGATCCAACCGCAGAACCACCTGTTCAACCGTGTCCAAATTCCTGGGATTTCACATGTAACAATCAAAGATGTATTCCAAAGTCATGGATATGTGATGGTGATGATGATTGTTTAGATAACAGTGATGAAGAGCAAAATTGTACTAGTAAGCATTCCATATTTAAAATATTTCTTGAAAATTAAACCAGCCTTTCCTTTTTTAGAGCCCACATGTGGATCAAATGAATTCCAATGTAAATCTGGACGATGTATTCCATTAAATTTCCGATGTGACATGGAAAATGATTGTGGAGATAATTCGGACGAATTCGAATGTAGTAATGTTACATGTGGATCTGCTCAATTCGCTTGTGCTAACGGACGTTGCATACCTAATATGTGGAAATGTGACTCAGAAAATGATTGTGGCGATGGATCTGACGAAGGTGATTTCTGTGCTGAAAAAACTTGCGCATACTTTCAGTTCACGTGTCCTCGAACGGGACATTGTATACCACAAAGTTGGGTTTGTGATGGCGATGATGACTGCTTCGATAAACAGGACGAAAAAGACTGCCCGCCAATAACCTGCCTAGCAAATCAGTTCAAATGTGCTGACTTAAGACAATGCGTAGAAGAATCATATAAGTGCGATGGTAAATTCTTTAAATAATAAATTACTGTTTAAAACAAGTATTTATAAAAAAATTTATTTAACAGGTATACCTGATTGCAACGATGGAAGTGACGAACTGGGATGCCCATCGATGGGGCCTAATCAATGTAATATGGAAAAACATTTCCGTTGTAAATCGTCCGGATTCTGTATTCCTATTGCATGGCATTGCGATGGTTCAAACGACTGCAGTGATCATTCTGACGAAGAAGATTGCGGGCAGATATCTTGCGCAGCTAATTTCTTCAAATGCAATAATTCAAATTGTGTTTTCAAGGCTTATATTTGTGATGGGCGTGATGATTGTGGAGATGGATCTGACGAAAGCGCAGCACATGCCTGTGTGGCTCCGCCATTTAAATGTCCTCATGGACAATGGGAGTGTCCCGGTGTTTCAGAGCGTTGTGTTAATATGACTTCCGTTTGTGATGGAATGCCGGACTGTCCAAATGGATCAGATGAAGGAGAAGGTTGTGATTTAGCGGAATGCCAACATCAAACTGGACTTTGTACAAATGGTTGCCAGAAAACACCTTTGGGAGCAATGTGTATATGTCCTCCTGGCTCCGAATTAGGTCAGGACGGTTTCACCTGTCAAGACACAGATGAATGTCAACCTCCAGGACTATGTTCTCAAACCTGTACTAATACCAAAGGCTCCTATTTCTGCTCATGTACGGATGGTTACATCTTGGAACGTGATAAACATACCTGCAAAGCTGTAAACCATTCTTCCGCATTTTTAATTATCTCTAATAGACATTCCATATTAGTAGCCGATCTTAATGAGCAAGGTTTAGAAAGAGTACCAATTGTTGTTGAAAATGTTGTTGCAACAGCATCGAACATGCATACGGGAACAATATTTTGGAGTGATATGAAATTAAAGAAAATTTCTCGGTTGGATCGCGGCATGGAGCCACAAGAAATAATTACCACTGGTTTGGATTTAGTTGAAGGACTAGCGTACGACTGGGTTGGTAAAAATTTATATTGGCTTGACAGTAAACTAAACACGATTGAAGTTTCAACTGAAAATGGTTCAAATCGATTAGTAATGGTCCGCGAAAATATTACACAACCAAGAGGAATGTGTTTAGACCCAAGTCCAGAAGCTCGTTTTATTTTCTGGACAGATTGGGGAGAGAATCCTAGAATCGAAAGAATCGGTATGGATGGAACAATGAGAGAAACTATTATTAACACGAAAATTTACTGGCCAAATGGTTTAACGTTAGATATAGCTACAAAGCGGGTCTATTTTGCTGATTCAAAACTAGATTTTATTGATTTTTGCTACTACAATGGTTCTGGAAGACAACAAGTTCTATCTTCGAGTCATTATTTGTTACATCCACATTCTCTTTCATTATTTGAAGACACATTATACTGGACAGACAGACAATTGAACCGGGTTCTTTCAGCACATAAGTATCGGGGTGCAAATCAAACTGTTGTTTCTCATTTAATTAATCAGCCGTTATCGATTCATGTACATCATCCATCCTTACAACCGATGTATGACAATCCTTGTGACAAAGCAAGTTGCCAGCATTTATGTTTGTTAAGTCCAAGTTCAAAAGAAGGTTATTCCTGTAAATGCAAACCTGGATATAGATTACTTCAAGGTGGAAAATGTGATGAGGAAGAGAATCCCTATTTAATGGTTATTAAAGGAACACAAATTGTAGATGTTCCGTTAAGTGGAGGAGATTTCAGAGCTGGCGCTTTAACACCAGTTATTGGAATTGAAAGTAGTACCGGTTTAGATTTTGATCGAAAAGGAGAAATGTTATATTGGGTAAGAATAAATATTTTGTATTTGAAAATTAGCTTACTGATTTCTTTTATATAACAGGTCCAAGGTCGTGAAGGTGACGACGAAAACTGTACAATTTACTCAACTCCGTATGGTGGAGGAAACAAAACTCAATTCCTCGGACCAGACACTGGAATGGTTGGAGCACCATACACTATTGCTTTTGATTGGTTAGGACGAAATTTATTTATTGGAAACAGATTAGCTTCAAACATTGAAGCAATCAGAGTAGACGGAAAAAATAAATACCGCACGATAATTTTAGCCAACAACGGCAATAAAACATCCGTAGCTAAACCCAAAGCATTAGCTTTAGATCCTGGTGCAGGCAAAATATTCTGGATTGATGAAGGTGGTTATGGGGTACCAGTAAAAATTGGTCGAGTTGATATGATAGGTACAAATCCCATGATTTTAAGAACTGATATTGACAGACCAGAAAGTATTACACTGGACATTCCAAATTCAAAAATTTATTATAGTACTCAACAACCGCCAACAATCAATGTAATTGACTATATGGGCGAAAACTTCAGAATTATTTTGTCAGAAAGTAATGACATAAATAAACCAAAAAGTTTAGGGATTTTAGAAAATAGATTGTACTTTATTGATCCAGTTTACGAAAAGGTTGTCAGAGTTGATTTACCTAAAGGAGATAATCCAAAAATTATTTTAGACAATGAACCAGACTTGAGAAACATGATTATTTATAAGAAACGATCATTTTTACATCCATGTCAAATAAATAACGGTGGTTGTGAGCATTTATGCATTCCAGCAGAATCGTCTACCAGAAATTGCGCTTGTGGTATCGGATACCACCAAGAAAGCGAGATAAGTTGCGTCTTTTATAAAACTTATGCTGTTGTTTCACAACTGGATGTGACCAGAGGATTTAGTTTAACAGACAGTTCAGATGCCATGGTTCCTATTTCAGGACCTGGACATCACATCCTTCATGTTGATGTTGTGTATAGAAGTCAATGGATTTACTGGGCTGAATACAATCGTGGTCAATGGAATGGTATTTTTAGAATACGTCCAAATGGAACAGAGTTACAGCACGTTATTAAAGAAGGAATTGGTAGCAACGGAATACGTGGACTTGCTATTGATTGGGTTGCCGGAAATCTTTATTTCACAAACGTTTTTCCGCATGAGAATTATGTTGAGGTTTGCTGGTTAGATGGCAGCAACCGAAAAGTTTTAGTAAAAACGACAAGTGACGCTCCTCGAGAGTTAGCTGTAAACCCTATTAAACGATTGTTGTATTGGATTGATTATGGGCAGTATCCAAGAATTGGAAAAGCATACTTGGATGGATCTCATTGGATGCCCGTTGTTACATCAGGAATTTCAAATCCTCGTGATTTAACAGTTGACATGCTAACGCATGATGTATATTGGGTTGATGCAAAATTAGACACAATTCAAAAAGTATCCTCTTCAGGCGGAAATCGTCAAATAATTCGTAGAAACTTGCCTAATCCAATGGGTATAGCAGTGCATTTAAGTGATGTATATTGGGTAGATAGAAATTTACAAAGTGTATTTAGAGCATCCAAATTTCCTGGTAACATCACCATACCTGAAAAAGTTAGAACAAAGTTGGAAAAATTACGTGATATTGCTATTTATGACATCAACAATCAACCAAATGATGATAACAATCCATGTTCTAGATTAGGAAATGGCGGATGTGATCAATTATGTTTCAGCTTCCCACCTGACTCAAACGCGAGTCCTACAAGGTTGAATTTCAAATGTGACTGTGCTACAGGCAAATTATCAGCTGATGGTAGAAAATGTGAATCTGTGAACGAATATCTCGTATTTGCTACAAGAACTGAAATTCGAGCAGTAAACTTAGATCCAAGATCAACCCAAGTTCCATTCAATCCCGTAGTGAATTTAACAAATGTTGTCGGACTTGATTTCGATTTCCATGATAACAAACTGCTGTTTACTCAAATTAGACCATGGGCTAAAATCGCCTGGACTAAAGCTGATAATCCATCTACAAAAGATATAAATATTGTGCTCAGCCGTGGAATTAATCCCGAAGGAATTGCATATGACTGGACTCAGAATAAAATTTATTGGACCGATAGTTCAAATAACTCTATTTACGCAATGAATATCGATGGAACTGACCTTGTGATGATTGCTAGAGTTGAAAGGCCAAGAGCTATAGTTTTGGATCCATGTAATGGAACACTCTTCTTTACCGATTGGGGACGCTTTGGCACTTCCGGCAAAATATTTAGAACTACCATGGCTGGGTCTCTAAAAAAAGCAGTAATAGATAAAGATTTATCACAACCAAGTGGTTTGGCTATTGATTACGATGATCGTAAATTATACTGGACTGATGCTGTTCGTGAAAAAATCGAAAGATCTGACTTAGATGGTAAAAACAGAGAACTTTTAGTAGCAGCTACAATTTACCCATTTGCCATAACTGTATTCCGAAATTATATATATTGGACTGATTTGCAATTAAGAGGTGTTTATAGAGCTGAAAAGCACACTGGAGCAAATATGATTGAAATGGTAAAGCGTTTAGAAGATTCGCCTAGAGACATTCGCGTTTATAGTTTAGAACGCCAAAAATGTACGGTGAATCCGTGCAAATTCAATAACGGAGGCTGCGCACAAAGTTGCCATCCTTCACCGAATGGTAAAGCCGAATGTAAATGTGATGATAGTTCAAAAGTTGTAAATGAAGGCCGCATGTGTGCTCCACGTAACCATACTTGCGAGCAAAGCAAGTTTTACTGTCAAAACGGTAAATGTATTTCAAGAATGTGGGCATGTGATGGAGATGATGATTGCGGTGATAACAGTGATGAAGACGTCAATTACTGCTCATATCATTCATGCTCAACAAACGAATTCAGATGTAATAATGGCCGATGTATATTCAAAACGTGGAAATGTGATCACGAAAACGACTGTAAAGATGGTTCCGATGAAATAGGATGCACATATCCACCATGCGTTGATGGGGAGTTCACTTGTGCTAACGGCAGATGTATACCTCAAGCACAAGTATGTAATGGTGTGAACGATTGTAAAGATAATGTCACATCTGATGAAACACACGAACGCTGTCCAAAGAATACTACTTGTCCACCGAATCATCTAAAATGCGAAAAAACTAATATTTGCGTAGAACCATACTGGTTATGTGATGGTGATAATGATTGTGGAGATAATAGTGACGAAGATCCTCTACATTGTGGGCAAAGAACATGCCCGCAAAATAGTTTCCGCTGCCCGAACCATAGATGCATTCCAGCTACTTGGTATTGTGATGGTGATGATGACTGTGGTGATGGAGCTGATGAGCCACCAGAATATTGTAAATCCGAAGGCAGAACATGTTTCGGAGATTTGTTTACCTGTGATAACGGAAATTGTATTCCGAGAATATACATTTGCGATGGTGATAATGACTGCTTGGATAATAGTGATGAAGATTCAAGACATCAATGTAGTAAGTATTTAAATATATTTTTTACTTTTGAAAGTTTTGATTCAACAATAACTTCTGCAGATGACAGAAAATGTGATGAAGAGACTGAGTTCACCTGTGAGGAAAATAAATCCTGGGGACGCGCCCAATGTATACCGAAAAAATGGATATGCGATGGTGATCCAGATTGCGTCGACGGTGCTGATGAAAACACGACGTTACATAACTGTCCCACTCCACAACCCTGTGGAGATGACATGTTTACCTGTGATAATGGGCGTTGCATTAATAAAGTAATTTTCTCTTTTTTTTTAATTTATATTTAAATAATTGACTTAATCATCTTTCTTAAGGGATGGCTTTGCGACCACGATAATGATTGTGGTGATGGTAGTGATGAAGGAAAATTCTGTAATTCGCAATACAAAACGTGCTCTCCGCAAGAATTTACGTGCCAAAACTTTAAGTGCATTCGAAATCAGTATCGTTGCGATGGTGAAGATGATTGCGGTGATCATTCAGACGAAGTTGGTTGTAAAAAGAATAATATTACATGTCCTAGTGGCCAATTCACTTGCGCAAATGGACAATGTATTGATTACAATTTAGTGTGCAACAAGGTTTCCGACTGCTCAGATGATTCAGACGAACCATTACACTGTAATGTAGATGAATGCGCTAAAGTTGAATTAAATCAATGTGGTCACAAATGTGTCGACACTCCAACTGGTTTCTATTGTGATTGTAATCAAGGATATAAGTAAGATTTTTTTCTTGTTTTACCGCAATTCAATTTTTCAAATATAATTTTATTAGACTTCTCGCTGATGGAAAAGCTTGTGCTGATATTGATGAGTGCTTAGAAGTACCAGGAGCTTGCAGTCAACATTGTTCTAATACTCCTGGAAGTTTCTACTGCAAATGCAATGAAAAATATTATGAACGTCAAAATGATGAGCATACCTGTAAACGTAAAGATATTAAAACTGAACCCTGGATAATTTTTACAAACAAATACTATGTTCGTAATATGTCAGCTGATGGTCATCAATACAATTTAATTCATCAAGATTTAATGAATGTTGTAGCTTTAGATTTTGATATAAGCGAAGAGTACACATATTTCTGCGATGTAACTGCAAAAACAATTTTCAGGTCAAAATATCATACAGATAAAGAGAAGCCCGAACGTGAACCTATAATACGACATGATTCTCATGGATTAGAAGGAATTGCGATCGATTGGGTCGGAAGAAAATTATATTGGCTAGATCGACACTCGAAAAATTTAGATGTTGCAGAACTAGATGGTACAAAACGTAAAACATTAAGAAGCGGTGTGGTTGATCCCCGGGCTATAGCTGTACATCCAGGAATTGGATATTTATATTTCACATCGTGGCATTTACAAGCATATATCGCAAAAATGGGAATGGATGGGTCTAATTTCACAAGAATATTAACCTGGGAAGATGACATTGCTTGGCCAAATGCTTTAACAATAGACTATTTTGCTGATAGAATATATTGGGCTGACGCACATTTGGATTACATAGCTTATGCTGATTTAGAAGGACATCACAGACATAATGTTCTAGTTGGAACTAAAGTACCGCACGTATTCGCATTATCTGTTTTCGACGATGAACTTTATTGGACCGATTGGAATTTAAAAGCAATTGTTAAGGCAAACAAATTCACTGGTAGTAACTATACTGTTTTAAGAAACACTACTCATCGCCCTTATGATATTCATATAAATCATCCATTACGCCAAGTTCCATACACAAATCCTTGCGGTGATAACAATGGAGGATGCTCGCACTTATGCTTAATTTCTCCTCCTCCAGAGTCTACCTATTTATATTTCGAAGGCTACATAGAGGAAGGGGTACCACATTTTAAATGTGCTTGTCCGAACCAATTTTATTTAGCAAGAGATGGTAAGACATGTATAGCAAATTGCACAACAGGACAACACAGATGTGGTGGGAATGACGAGAAATGTATCCCTTGGTTCTGGAAATGCGATGGAGAAAAGGATTGTAAGGATGGTTCCGATGAGCCAACAACTTGCCCAGTCAGACATTGTCGCGCAGGTACATTCCAATGCAAAAATACAAATTGTACTCCTTCTGCGACTATTTGTGATGGAACAGATGATTGTGGAGATATGTCTGATGAGCAAAATTGTGAATTACCTTGTCCAGAGTCTGATTTCAAGTGTCGTTCCAGTGGACGCTGTATATTGGATAGTTGGCGTTGCGATGGTGATGCTGATTGTAAAGATGGAAGCGATGAAGATCCAACAATATGCAGTTAGTAATTTACAATTAAATTTAAATACTTAGTTTAAAATTAAGTTGTTTAAAATTCCATTTCAAATTATCATTTGTTTGACAAATATATGACTTTAATTTATCAATTTTATAGATAAGCGAAGTTGTAACCCAGAAACGGAATTTAGCTGCAAAAATGGACGTTGCATTCCAAAATTGTGGATGTGTGATTTTGTAAGCACTTTATGTTACAATCAAATTTAAAGTTATAGTACTACTTTTATTTATGTATATTGTAGGACAACGATTGCGGTGATGATTCTGATGAGCCAGCTTATATGTGTCGCCAGAGAAACTGTACAACAGGATGGCAAAGATGTCCTGGACAATCCAATTACAGATGCATTCCAAAATGGCTGTTTTGTGACGGTAAAGATGATTGTCGCGATAAAAGTGACGAATTGCCAGAAAATTGTCCTAAATGTAATGCTGAAACCGATTTCAAATGCGCAAATAACAGATGTATTCCAAAGTATGAAACCTAAGAAATTGTTTTACCAACTTTATATCAAAATATTTTTATAGGCAGTGGATGTGCGACTTTGCTGATGATTGCGGCGATGCTAGTGATGAAAATGAAGCTTTGTGCAAAGGAAACTACAGAGATTGTTCTGAATCGGAATTCCATTGCGCAAATGGTAAATGTATTTCATCAAGATGGCGTTGTGACCACGAAGATGATTGCGGCGACAACAGTGATGAGCTAAATTGCCAAGGATACCAATGCAAAAATAATACATTCCAATGTCATTCAGGACATTGCATCGCATCATATTTCCGTTGTGATGGAGATCGTGACTGTCGTGATATGTCTGACGAAATAGGATGTCCGCCTAGATTTGGTGATCGTTACTGTCCCGAAACAAGGTTCCAATGCAAAAACAACTTGTGTGTATCCCCTTCAGATATTTGTGATGGTACTGACGATTGCGGCGATAACTCAGATGAAGACGCAAGTGTTTGTACGAACTTTAACTGTGATACATTAAGGAGATTCCAATGTGCAAATCATCGTTGTGTTGCACGTTACCAAATTTGTGACGGAATCGACAATTGTGGGGATGGATCTGATGAAAACAATATGACCTTATGCGCCAATATTCAAAAACCATGCGATCCATTTACTCATTATCAATGTGCTAATAAAAATTGTATACTTAGAAGTCAAATATGTGATTTATCAGACGATTGTGGTGACGCTTCCGATGAATTAGGTTGCCACCATACAAGTTCCTGTTCAGATCTAAACCGAGGTGGATGCGAACACCAATGTCATAACTTAACTGACGGAGGATACATATGTGTGTGTTATCCTGGATTTATAATATCGCCTGAAAATAAAAAACGTTGTATAGATATTGATGAATGTAAAACTAGAACGCATACATGCAGTCATCAATGCAATAACTTAAACGGAACATATTCCTGTTCCTGTAAACCAGGTTTTAGACCTGCTGAAGGTATGTCTGGAGAATGTAAATCAGAAAATGAGGAACCACTACTTATATTTGGAAATGGTCCTGAAATTCGAGGGTTAGATTTGAAGAAACAAGAAGAATTTGATGTAATTGCTGCAGAAAAAAGAATAGAAGCTATCGCTTACAATCCAACTTTACAAATAGTTTATTGGGCTGACAGTTATGATAAAACAATAAAACGATCATACATGGTCAACGCTCAACGTAAGTATTTTTGAACACAATAAACACGACATTTGTGTATAAAACTATTTTTGTTTTAATTCTTTATTTTATAGAGGGACAAGCTAAAATTGGTTTCGCTCAAGATTTAAATATGAAAGGTGGTCTTAAGCCGACAGCTGTAGCAGTTGATTGGATTGCTGATAATTTATATTGGACAGAAATGGATAGAACGGGCTCAAAACCGAGAGGTAGAGTGATGGTAGCTAAAACTGATGGTCGTTATCGAAGAGCTGTTGTCGGTGGTGGTCTTGAATTTCCAACTTCTATTGCTGTCGATCCACAATTAGGTAGAATGTTTTGGGCGGATGCTGGTTCCGCACCTAAAATCGAAGTTTCTTGGATGGATGGAAGCAAACGAAGACCTGTAATAACGGAAGCCATTCGTCATCCAGCTGGTTTAACTATTGATTATTCTCAAGACCATATAATTTACTGGGTAGATACTAAATTAAATATTATAGAATCAATGCGACCGGATGGGTCTTTACGTAAAGTAATAGCAAAAGGTGAACAACTGCGACACCCAACTTCACTTGATGTATTTGAATCAAATATGTACTGGATAACCCGAGACACAGGAGAACTTATTAGACAAGATAAATTTGGTCGTGGAGTACAAGTTGTAGTACAAAGAAATTTAGCAAATCCTTCAGATATAAAAATTTATCATTCAGATCGTTACAACACATCTTTAAGAAATCCATGTTTGAATAATGCCTGTTCACATTTATGTCTATTAGTTCCGGGTGGCAGACGATGTGCTTGTCCAGATAATACTAATCCACTACAGTCTCATAGATCTACTGCAGAAGTTATTTGTGACGCCGCTGCAGAACCACCACGTCCATCACCAAGAATATGTCCGTGTGAAAATGGTGGTTTATGTCGTGAAAGTGATAGCGGAGATTTGGAGTGTGAATGTCTACCAGAATTCGGGGGCTCTAACTGTGATCGTTCTTTAAGAGGTGGATTTGGTCCTGGTAGCGGTAATGTAGCTGCTGTTGTAGTACCAATTATGGTTATACTCCTAGTAACACTTGCTGCTGCTGGAGTATGGTTTGTCATTAGAAAAAAACCATTGTAAGTATTTTAACATATTAATTAACATTATTAAATTTTTCTTTATTTAATATTGTTTTTTGCTTTATATAGTGGGAAAATGGCGCGGTTGAGCTCATTGACATCATCTCAAAGTGTTTCGTTCCGCCAAGGATCAAATGTTGAATTTAATAATCCAGGTTTCCCTAATGCTCCACCACCTCCAGATGTAGCTCCAGTTGAAGGCTACAACTTGCAAACAGTAAATGCTACTAAGCAACGTGATTTTTCAAACCCAATGTATGATGCAGTTCAATCTGGAACAACAATAGATCCCAGTGTAGGAAATGGTTCCGGTAAATTAAATTTTATTTCTAATTGATAATTTTTTATAATACATAAATTCGTAAGGACAAAATATAAACTTTTGAACTCTTTGCGGTATATATTTATACATATGTATTAATATTAATATTTAAATTAATATGTCTTAGTACATATTCACACATATTCATACTTCTTTATTTAATATAATTTATTACTCTTTTAGGGGTTTATGATACTGATAAAAAACCAGTTGGTCCGTTTACAGAACCAGTTTCAGCAATATTAGCTCCAAGTAGTATAACACATAAATCATCACCCAAATTACAATTAAGGACAAGAGAATTAGATCCATCAGCTGACACTGGTAAAGATACCCAGTATCTTGTCGAGGAAGATAAGTCTGAATGCTGATATTAGTTTCCGATGAAATTCTATATTATAATAATTTCGAAATTATATTTTGTTAAATTTCTATTAAAAAAAAAGGAAAACAAAAAATGCAAAAAAAAACTGAATTAAAAAATATAAAATATTTTTATAATTAAATCTAGAAATTTACTATTAAAAATATATAACTAATTAATTATATTATATATTAAATAGAAATCTTAATTTTATAGAAATTTATATAAAAAATGGGTTATGAAAGATTTTTTTTTTTAATTATGTATTATTAAAAATGTTGATTTTGTTGAAAGTCTAAAAAAAAATTTTATATAAAAGAGAAAAATGATTACATTTTTAGATATTTTCCGTTAATATTATAATTATTATTAAATAAATTTAATTATTTTTAATTTTATTCACACTTTAAAAAAATTATATCATAATTTCATTAAATTATTAAAAATATACTGGATAAAAAAAACGTTTAAATAAAATGCATTTGTTTTTGCTTAATTTAATAAGAAATTAAGTATTCAAAATTTATAGAAACAAAACAAAAATGTCGCAATAATTATAATATAAATATAAAATCAAGTAATGTAAAATATTAAACGAAATATTCGTATTATTAAAATAATTATCTATAACAAAATAAAGAAAAGTATTAATTGCATAACATTCTAAATAAGGTTCTGTTAAATTAAAAAAAAAATAAGATTTTTTTTGTACTTTATTCACAATATCAAAAGGCTGACAATCCCTTATATAATACTTAATTATTAATGGTGCCAATCAATATTATATTTGAATATTAATTTTTTTTAATAATTTAATGAAATTTTTATATATTCTATATGGTGTGAATGTTTTAAATGTTAAATTAAAACAAAAAGAAAAACAAAAAACAAGAGAAAACAGCATTCTAGAACTTTTAAATTAATTGATTTAAAAAATAAAAACAATATTGTATGTTTATTTATATACGTACACACATAAATATATAAATAAAATAAAATTTAATTTAAAATTAGAAAAGACAAGAATGTATAAGTCCTAAATAAGATAGCAATTTCTAATTTAATATGTTAATACATCCGGACAAGCAATTCTATAAAAAGAAATAAAAATAATAAATTAAATAAATAAATATAAATTTAAAGAAAAAATGTGTGAAACATTCCTATACAATGTAAAAAGAGCAAATATAAAAAATGCAAGAAAACAAAAAAAAATTAGCAAAAACAAAATAAAATAGAATATATATTTTATATAATTACATAATAATAGTTTTATTATAAAATACGAATTGAAAGGAGATACAAAGAAAATTATTATTTATAAATATTAAAACGAAAATTAAATAACAAAATATTAAGCTTGTTACAAATTTACAAAATGAAAATTAATTATATAATTTTAATCTTTTGAGTTGAATGAAAAAATTCGAATACATAATTTTTACTTTAATATTGCATATCACATTACTGTAATTTTAAAATCGGAAACTATTTAATAAAATTATTTTAAACGAAAAATTAAACCAAATTAATAAAATTTTTGTTTTGCACTTTATAAAAATTCTATATCATATGTTAAAGGCATTTATTTCTTAAAATTACAAAAATTTAAAGTCAATTTAATTTAAATAAGTTCTTATTCTAAAAAACAATTTATTTTAAATGAAATATTTTGAAAAAATATTAACTGAGTAGCCTGATCTGCCTAATACACTGTAAATTATTTCAAAAATAATGGAAAAAAAGAAAATCTTTATAATTACCGTATATGCGTTGTTAAAAGATAATATGGTCCCTACTTTTTATAAAATAATTAAAAATATTACGTTTTTGTTTTTAATTAATTAATTAATTGAAATTATTTAAGAATCATTTGCATTTTTGCAATTCCGATTTTTATTTCAAAATATAATTTTTTTTTTCAAATTATAAATTTCTGCAATCCAACTAACTTCTTTGGTAACATTATTTTACAATTTGTGTCAAAAAATATTAATTAAGTTGATATTTTTTTCATAAATAATCCTTTGATTTAGAAATTTAAAATTTTTTTTAAATATTCATATTCTTCAATAATTTAATAAATATTCCAGCTTGATTTGAAGAAAAAACCCATCAATTACATCTAATAAAAAAAAATATAATTAATAATACAATCAATGCAAGAATATATAAAACATATAAAAAAGTATATTAGTTAAAAAGTCAAAAGACTTAAAACAAAAAATGTACGAAATTTAGTTTATCTCCGTTTTCTTCTACAAACAAGAAAAATATGATATTAATTTTTTTTTTTAATTTTTTGTACACATAGAATTTTTAAATTCATATTAAAATTTTGTATTAATTTTTTTATAGATAAATTTTTGTGATATTCACGAATTAGGGGCAATGTAAATTCATATACAAATTAAAATAAAATATACATATATTGTTACACTTTTTAAATACGTTATAAATCACAACAAAATAATTACACAGCATGAATATTTTTTTCTTTTTATTTTCAAAAAATAATTCTTAAAATTTTTACCGGAATTTTAGTTGGTACACAATGGTACACAAGTAAACAAACATTTATACTATTATTAATAATGTTTAAATTAATAAGCCAAATATTATGAAAAAGAACTCTTTAAATCAATCCTAATTTAAATCAATGCCTAAAACCAATTTTTAGAACTTTACAAATATTTTTTACTATTTTTTTTCAACTTATTAAATTTGTTTTTTGTTTTTTGAGCAAAATTAAATCTTTTGTAATATTGTAATATTTATAAATTTTATGGAAAAGTTTTAAAAACCTCATTCCAAAGTTACAGTTAACTTTATTTTAAACAAAATAAAATTCGTGAAATGTCCTTTCTACTCAATTTTATTTCCCATATTATATAAAAAATTCAACTGTTATAATATTGTATATTTTTTTTGTTTTAAATAATTTTCTCTATTAGGTAGACATTATATAAAAAAAATAATTATCTTAATATAAAATAATAAAAAAAAAAGAAATTTATTATAAATTCTAAGTTTTAAATAATTTTATAAAAATGAAGATAAAAAAATTAAAACAAAAAAACGAAAAAATTAAACAAAAACTGTTTTTATATTAGTAATAAAAAAAAATAATGATAAAAATAAATAATTGATAAACCAACTATGTATTTAAGCAAAGGGTATATATTTAGTAAAAAAACAAAAATCTAAAAAAATCTAAAAAAAAAGAGTGGAATAAATAAATAAAAATTAAATTAGAACAAGACAAAAAAAAAACAAAAACTCTATATAATAGAAAAATAAAAAATTTACTAACAAATTATAAAAAAGGGACAAATTTCATATAAATATAATTAATACAAATAATTTATATACATATACAAAATATGTATATAATGTATGTTTATGCATATATTTTTTTATATGAAAGCGAAATTAAAATATACATATATATAAATTTATAGGAATATTATGATTTCAATAAAAAATAATATACTTGCAAAAATATAAACATACGCCATAAACTATAGTAGGACTTACATGGTATCGAATATAAATACATATATACAATAACATGTATATATAATTAAAAAAAAATGTCCCAAAAATTTATATTTTTTTCATTAAATGCAAATTCTAATTGGCTAGACTCTAAAGAAAAGTATAAAACATTCATTTTTAATACACATAGCTTTAAATTTTTAAAAACAAGAATTTAAGTTCCAATTCTTTTTTTTATTCATTTGAATTTGAAATTTTGAATCGAAACACATATCAAAATTTAAAAAGAAAGAATTAATAAACACATTTTGTTAACAAACAATTCCTCTAATTCTATTAAAATTAACTTGAAATATTTATCATCGTAATGAGTTCTACATCTATACGGCAATAATATAACAATAAGTAGTTCCCCATTCTTTTTAATTTTTCTTTTAAAGTCTATTCAATCAGTTTTTTGCTTATTTTATAATATTATATATAATTATAATATCTGTATATAAATTTTATTTTATTCAACATAATTTTATGTACATGATTGTATTCAAAAATAAAAACAAATTTTTGTAAAAAGTGTAAAAAAATTTAAAAAATATTAAATATCTATTATTATAATATATTTGTTATATATACAATATATAATAAAAAAGAATGCAGATATTATATTAAAAAAAAAATAAAATAAAAAAGCAATTTTTAGGTTTAATTATCATTATTTTTATTATTATTATTATTACTATTATTATTATCATTATAATATTCTTATTATTTTTTTTTTATTTTAAATATTTTTATAAAAATAAAATATATAATTGTATAAACAAGATATTTTTATATTAATAGATAATTTGTTTAATTGCTTTGTAATTTTTGATTATTTTATATAAAAATATTATACAAAATCGTACAAAATATAACAAAAACCGTTTTGCATTCATAATTATTAATTACATATTATTGTACTATTATTTTATACTGGTTATAACAATTTACTGGTTAACAACTGGTTATTTATTGTGAATTCAATTAAGACCTAAAATTTTTTTATTCTCGAAATACAAATAGAACAAGATAAAAATCAATATTAAAATTATAAATTATTTTCAAAGAAATTCTATTAAATATATGAAAAGTTCTTTAATAATACTATTTATTTATACTATATAAATTAATTAATTATAAAACAAGAATATAGAATTAGTAATATTTTTAAAAATGATTTGCCATTAATTAAAATATATAACTATAATTATTATATGAAAATAATTTAATAAAATAAATTTAGTTTTTCAATACAATTAATAATAATTTTACATAATATGTAATTATTAAAATTTAATATTTAACCAATTCTTTTATTATAAAAAATTTTAAAAATTATACAATAAATGGAATCATTTTTAATTCATAATTAACACTTTTTCAAATAACAGCAATAAATTATATTGGAAAATTAATAATTCAATTATTATATAAATAAAATACAAGCATATTTAAACAAATATTCTATTAGTATAATATTAAATAAAAAAAAAGAAAAATAAAACTCTTTTAATTTTTAAGTTTTTTTTTTTTAATATCAAATCATAATGCTTTATTTAAGTTATCAGCTGTCTTATTTTTTAAGTAAAATATTATTAATATAAAATTTAAAAAAAAATGGTATATATAAAATATATTAAATACGTATATTAATTTTTATTAAATATTAAATTGTGTTTATTATTATTTTGATTTTTATTTTATTACTTTTTTTTTATTTTGTTTTATTATTTTAACTTCTCTATTTGTTTGTTAAGTTACGATTATTTAAATAAAAAGAATGAAAAACATGAAAAAAAAATATTCTTTAAAATATTTTGTGTTTTATTTTTTTTGTTTTAATATATATTTTTATTTAAATTACATCAATTGAAATATAAGGTCCTTTCATAAACACAGTATATCGCGATATAAATAAAAACTGGATTATATATTTTGCGATCGTCGGCAAGGCTAGTTGTTCACAATTATTATGAGTAGCAAAGTTAAATCATATGAACTGTTTTGATTTTATAGAATAATTAAAAATATTTTGCATATCGAATACGTTAAATTTCTGCAGTATTGCATTTCGCAGTTATTATATTGTGGTATTGCGTTTATGAAAATTTGTATGCTTTGACCGCATTACTTCTATATATCATATTAAAATTCTTTTATATCCATAATTCTTCAATTATCGATATTTTCAGACACACATATTATATTTAATCATAAAAATTTGTATTAAAAAAATTAATTTTCATTCATTTTAAAAATTTAAACAATTTAAAAAAAAAAAGTTAATAGCTCTTCAATATGCACTAGTGAAACATCAGATTGAACCAAATATTGAATGCATTTCTTTGAAATGTTTAAAACAGACTTTCTCGTAAAAACTATCTAATATTAAATACTCACTGCCTAATACTGCTTAATATTTTTCAGTTTAATAATGTTTTATTATAGAATATAAGTTGTGCAATTTAAATAAACATTTTCAAACCGCCGAAAAAATATTAATGTAATTTTTTTTTTTTTGTGTTGTAAACAGTTATGTCACTCAATACAGCTATAATAGGTACCTATATATCGTAATTGTAGGCAATTACCGCACTACTTACCATTACTAATTCTGGAAAATACACTGCTTAATAATTTTTCTATTTAAGTTTACTTCTTTAAAAGTTGAGATCGTGAATTGATGCTAAATTTAAGAAAATTTATTTTTTGAAATTTTGAAATAAAATGTAACACTTTAATTTAAAATTTTCATTTCATATATATGTACCTTAAATATGTATGTCATGAATACTGATAATAATAAAAATATAAAAATTTTTTTTTCCATAATATTTTTTTATTTAATTTTGTTTTTAAATTAATTACAAATAGTTTGTATCTTATTTTTTTGTTTAAAAACTTATTTTCAATTATAAATTAAGACAATAAAATGTTATACCTTTTTTCTACAAAAATAATATATATATACATATATAATAACAAATTACATAATTTTTAATAAAAAAAGATATAAAAATTAATTTTCATTGTTAAGTTTTAAAATATATGAAATAATAAAAATATATATAATATTATGTATTTATAATAATAAATAATAATTGTGAATAAAAATTTAGTATTAATATGTCAGAGAATGAAAAATTTTTATATATAAGTATATAAAGAAAAAATTAAATAGTATTATAAAAATTATTTAAAATTACAAAGCCGCTTTGAAAATTAAAGAAGTTAAATAGAAACCATTTGTAAAAAAACGATAATGAGAAAATTAAAATGAAATAACTATTTAAAATTTCATGCTAAATTCTGTGAATTTTAAAAAGAAAAAATTAAAAAAATATAATTTAATGTAGATGAAAAATCAAAGCTTAATATAGGAAATGGTGTGATTTAACATTTAATATTTTCAATACAATAAGTAAATTTGCATGTAAATATCATAAATTTGCTAATCTTAGAGCGTCTACCAGAAAGCAGATCTGAAATCAATTTGACCATTTCAGTAAACAAAATTATATTGCTGAATAAATTATATTGTCGTTACATCTGCATTATGGTAGATGCCTTTAATCTCCGATATCATATAAATATTTTTTCCAATATTTTTCGATTTATAATTTATTATTAAATTTTTTTAAAGCTTTCTCAATATAAACCTAAAATGAGTATTTGTGCTTAAAAAGAGAAAAAAATACATAAATTTTCGATGTCAATTCAAAATGTTTTCAAAACCGTTAAAAATAATGAAATATATATTACATATTAAATAATTATGTCATGACATAATTATATAATTGTATTCGGATTACGAAAATTTATTTAAATAATAATGAAATTTCTAATTTTTAATTATACATCTATGTGTGTATATACATTATATGTGCTCACATACACATTCAACCCTTTAATTTTAAATAATAAACAAAAAAACTCAGGAACCTATCATTATTGTTCTTATCATTAATTTTTTTGGGAATCTATCGTTCATTTTATAATTCATCAATAAAAAATGAACTGTCAAGAATGATTGCCATTGTGCATTGTAATTTTATATGGAAAATTACAAAAAAGTTCGGTGTTATCATTAAAAAAAACATAAATGATATTACAGTTTATCATTCACATCTTTTTTTCGTGAAAAGTAGTGTTTAGTGTTCACTTGTTTTTCCTTTCATTCCCTTTCTTTATAAGAATGATGACGATGACCTAAGTTTTTTTGACATTCACACTTTTACATAAATATTGTTAAAAATGTATAAACAATGTCATTTTTTCAACATTGTAGGTCCTTTTTTACGTTAAAATTCTAACATTTTTAATTTAGATTAGCAAAATACTAAATTGATATTTTTTTTTAATAATGCAGATAATCTGCCGTCCTAAAGAATTTTTCAAAATATATCTGCATTTTTAATATTAAAACAAATTATTAATAAAAAAAAATTATGTAAAAAAATAAAAGTAAAAATATAATAATAATAATTAAATGTAAAATGCTTGCTTTTGTAAAAACCTTGCAAATATACATACATAAAAAGCAAAAATATGTAGTTAAAATCTTAAATTTGTGTTTATTACAATATTCATTACTGTTAATTTTAGTATATTATAATATAAATGTCATATCATCAAAATTAAAAAAAAAATAATTGAAAATAATAAAAAAAAAACGTGTATTTTAAAAAAATTTTTTTATGGGAACAAATTGTAAATTTATCTAAAAAAAAAAAAAAAGAAAAACAATTAATATACATATACAGATGTAAATATGTACATAATATACAATAGATTGAAGAAAATATAAAAATTGAAAAAAATGTTGTTTAATTCGCATTAGTCTTTATTAACCCTTTAGCAGCGCGTTGTTGTATTTTAAATTAGATAACATTAAAATATCCGTTTAAGTCCCCTATTTGTTAACAAAGTAACACACACATACATATTATAATGTATAAGTAACTGGCTGTTTAGTAAGCCTCATTCTGTTCCCTTTTGAAACATTTGTGTGTCGAACACAATTTTGTTTGTTTTGTGTCATATTTAAAATTATGTTGATTTTAATATAAAATTGTGTACATCAAATTAAGACAGTGATCTTTTAAAATTTAGGTATCTAAATACATAATTGCTCATTTTTTAATGTTTTGCCAATTACCTATTTTTAATTTGTCAATAATAATAAAAGTTTTTTAGAAATTTAACCCTTATCTAGGAAATTTTTTTTTCGGTCGACTGCAAATCAAGATAATTATATGACCATAACATATAGTAGGACCCTATTACACTAACCACAAATTTTTGATTTGTCAAATTATCAAAAAATTTAATATGTTGCATCAAGTGTCAAAACACTAACTTAAAATAATAAAGAAAAAATACTTTAATTAAAAAATAAAAGTTAAAAGGATTCTGAACCGATTTTTGTATTACTTTTTCATGAAAGAAATCAATATTTTTACAAAAACGTCAAAACTTTTTATTTAATCCACAATAAAGGGTTTGAGAATTCACCATATTTCTTATTGTGTATTAATATTTTATTAATTAATATTCGTTGTTCTTCGCACAAGAAAAATTGATATACAAGACAATTTTCTATACTGCAAAAACATTAAATTAATCAAACCAGTTTTAAAATTAATTATATACATTATATAAATTATATAATATATATATATATAATAAAAAATTGATAAGATATAAGATTAATATTATATAATTATTAATATTATATATATATATATTATATTATATAATATATATATATATATATATATATATATTATATTAATTATAAATTAATACGTAGCTTAAATGGTCCACTATTTTAGTAAAATACATGTAAATTTGAAATGCTACAACTGGAACAAAACAAATTTTTTTGAATGTCCAGTCAATACTTCATTACGACTATTGTTCAACCCTCAAAAAATATTCAAAAGTGATATGTGGCATTATTGTTTACAATGTCATCTGCAAAATGTCAATGTCAAAACGCACGTGTATTTTATTTCGTTTTCTCTCTATAGTCGTGCTAATCGCTTGTTTTACTAAGTGCAGAATTTTTTTTAAAAACAAATAAAAGAAAATAGTTACTTGTAATACCGTGTTTTTAAATTTGAAAAAATAAAATGGGGAAAAAGACTCGTTCTAAAAGAAAGAAGCCACCGCCACCTCCAGCCGATGAACCAATAGAAGTTGCACAAGCTCCACATTCTTTTGTTATTCATCGTGGTCTTTCATGCCCTTATATCTCCGATTTAACTAAAGATTTTCGACGTGTTATGGAACCGCATACCGCCATGAAATTGAAAGAAAAAAAATCGAATAAAATAAAAGATTTTGTTAGTTTATCAGGATATTTTCATGTTTCGTATATGTGTGTTTTCAATAAAGCTACAACACAACTGTCTTTTAAAGTAGTGCGGATGCCAAGAGGACCAACTTTAACATTTAAGGTACTAATCAATCTACATAAATTTAAAAGTTAAAAAATATAGTAGAATTATATACTTCAAAACTTTAAGGTACATCAATTTACATTAGCAAGAGATGTGATATCATTCAGTAAAAAACAATTCGTTGATGAAGAAATTTTTCATACTGCGCCCTTAGTTATAATGAATAACTTTTCAGGAGAAGGAAAACATTTAAAATTAATGGCTCATACATTTCAAAGTATGTTCCCTGCAATAAATATAGCTACTGTGAATTTATCGACAGTTAGAAGATGTGTGCTTTTTTCATATGATCCAATAGCCAAATTAATACAATTTAGGCATTATTCCATAGTTGTGGTACCAGTAGGTTTATCAAAACCTGTGAAAAAAGTTGTTTTAAGGAAAATTCCCAACATGTCTAAATGCGATGATATAGCAGATTACTTTAATGGGTAAGTTTAAAAAAAATGAAATTTTACAAATATTTTAAATATGTTTGCCTAGAAATGCATCTGAATCTGAATTTGAAGATGACGAAGAAAGTCATGTGATTCTTCCACAAAATTTAAAAACTAAAGGAAACTTAGAAAACAACAAATCTGCTGTACGTTTATATGAAATTGGTCCAAGAATTACATTTGAATTAGTTAAAATAGAAGAAGGCTTATTTACTGGTGAAGTTCTTTACCATGAAACTGTAATTAAATCCGAACAGGAAATCGAAACTATACGAAAAATGAGAGAAAAAAAGAAGAAAGCCAAGGAACACAGAAAGAAAATACAAGAAGAAAATGTTAAAAGAAAGGAGAAAGAAAAAAATAAAAAATCTAATCCTGATGAAAAAGTAAAGGAGGTACCGCCAGTAGAAGAAGTAGAACCAGATGATGATGCTGAATATTATAGACAAGAGGTGGGCGAAGAACCCGATGAAGGTAACTGACGACAAAATATTTTTGTAGGAAAAATGATAATAATACTGTTTACAATTTTAGAAATATTCAAGCAGTCTGAAAATAAAGGTACAAAGCGAGTTAAACTTCCCAAATATATGGGAGGTAAAAAAAGAAAATTAAATGAAAACAGTAAATCTAAAAATAAAGACTCTTGGAAATCAGAAAAAGTTAATTTTAACGACAAAAATAAACGAAGAAAGGATAATAAATCTAAAGACAAGAATAGATCAGCCAAATCAAAGAAAGGTCCGAAAGGTAATAGTAGCCAAACAGATAAAAAGAGAAGATCTGGTGCTAAAGATGGCAAATTTAGTAAACCAATTTATAAAAACAAATTAACTGGAAAATCTAAGAGTGGAGGAAAAAAGAAAAGTAGAAAATAAATTGTTTTAATTAAAAATATTTCCTGTGTGTAAAATATAAATAATTTTTTATTCAAACAACCTTCTTGATTGACCTATCTATTTAGGAAATATATATACAAATAATTATGATCTTTTGGTTTGCTACAAAAAGGGTTCAAGTATTCTTATTCAAAAAAGTTTCAAAGAAAATAGAGCGAACATATATCAAGTAATTAATAACAATAAATGAAAAGAGAACATATATAAAATAATAACATTTTTAAGATTATAAGACTTACAAAATATACCAGATCTGCAATTTCTATATTCTTCGTTACTCAGACATAATATTGTAATTTACATACATTACCTGTTAAAAGTACTTATATAGTATTTTAATATCAAAAAAGTGTGAAATTAATTTCATTTATAATATTGATGTAAAAAAATCCTATTTATTACAAATATTTTCAAACTACACTTTAAAGTAGTTAAATTTAATTCATTAAATTGTACATTTTATTATATAATAATATAAAAATTTCTTAAATATCTACGATATGAGAATAAAATTTTCAAAAATCTTATACTATCTTGTATATTCATGTGATGTGAATTTTTAATAACTAAAATACTGAAAAACTAAATACCTATCCACTTTTTTTAATTTTTATAAAAAAAAATTCAATTGCATTTAATTTGGTTTTTTCTTTTATGTGTGATTTGATGCTAGAAATACTATTATTAAAGTAAGTATGTTTCAGAGAAGTTTTTATACTTATATAATATATTCTGAAAAATTATTCATATTTTTCAGCATTTCTGAAGAAATGTTTAATTTTATTAAACGTACATAGTACGTTATCAAACTCTTTTAATGTATGACAATATTTCTTTGAAACAAAAAATATATTATTTATTCAAAAAAAAAAAGGTTGAATTAAATAATTAATGTGAGTAAAGTAAGGTTATTATATTTTATCTAATATTAATTACATATTAGAATAAATTTTTGCTTATTATTTTGTTTTTTTTTAGACTAATAGTGGGCATTCCTAAACTTGTAACTACACAAGAGAAAAAAATCTATGAAATATTTTGATTAAGTATCTATTTTGTATTGATACAAAATACAAATATATCTTATTATAAAATTTATCCCTTAACTAAAATGTGCACCATTCTAAAATAAATCTACACATATATTAAAAAAAATTAATATTTCTTTAATTAATGGACGTTAAGAAACTTTTCTTTTTAAATTTCAATTGTTTTTACATACGTATATATTATGTATTCATATAAAAAGGCTAATTTTTATCAGACTTGTAAATATCATGGAAGATCTACATGAATTTTGTAAAATAAAATTCATTTTTTAGGAGTTTTCGGTTTTTTTTTGTTTTTTAAAGGTTAGTGTTCCGAATAAAACTTAAAATATTTACTTAATAAGTATGTAAATCTTAAAGCTATGTAAAATATTATTTTGGGTTAAATTTTCTGTTTATCCTAATGATTCTTTATGGATTTTATTGTTTCCACTAGAATATTTGTGTTAGATGGATAAATTTCATTTAATTCTTCTTCACCATTTTGTTGATGCTGGTGTTGTTGCATTTGTTGATGCTGTTGTTGTTTCAATATGAAATTATGATTATTGATATCACCCGTCCAGCGGTAATTTTTTTTATGACTATGATTTACATTATTATTGTTATTGCTGTTTGTTGTACTTGTTAAATTGTCCGATAATGGTAAAGATAATGACTGTTCCTCATTATTTGATAAAGAATTAACAACAGATGCAGCATCAGTCATTGTGGACATTGACATTGTATTTTGTACGGTTGAATTATCATGTGCATTTGAATTAATATCTTGCAAATAATTACGCCAATGTTTTAATTTATTACGAAAGTTTGAATTCGTAAAATACATATTCTCATAATCTCTTATATTTAACATATCTGGTGGTAAATCCTTAAAATCGTCAATATATTTTGCTAATAATTGATCTTGTAATTTCAAATTTTGTATGGTTAATTGATTTTTTCGAATACGTTCCTGAAATATAACTTGATTTTCATAAATAGCTGCATCAATATTTTCTAAAATTTTTTCATCAATTTTATTCGGAATATTTTCTAATACGGTTAAAGATGCTTCAGAATCAGGTTTTAAACTTTCATCTCCACCCATTTCAATTAAACTTTTCGCCAAAGAATCAATTTCTTCTGGTGGTATATCTTGCATAATATCAAATAAATGTAACATTTCTTGAGATGAACATATAGCTTTTCTTTTCATAACAGCACGATGATTCAAATCCAAATCTAAACCTAACTCTAAATTTTCCGCACCACATAGTGTAGCACCACTTTTACATGTAATAATATCTCCACCACAGTTTGCATCGATATCGTTAATACTTAAGCCACTATTCAATTTAGTTTTTGGATGTTTTTTCATGTCATAAACTGAGATCGCGTAATTAATATTATTTTCATTTTGAAAATCTACTGTATTCTTACTTGTCATTGATACATTAAATTTTGTTGGTGAACATTGACTGTCTTCTATTTCATAAAATACTGTTGACAAATTATTTGAATCACAGAAATCATAAGTATCGTTTGTGGTTTCCAATTGATCTTTTTTATCTTTGTTCTCTTTAAATAAAAATAATTTATTTTTTTCAATGTTTTTTTCGCTAGTTTTCGCTGTAGTGACAAAATTTTTGTCATACGTTTTATATTTTGGCTTTTCATAGTTCTTAATTGATTCATTTAAATCTTTATCGAAATTTTTTATTGACATATTCTCAGTTCGTGATAATGGTGTTTCATCATGTATTATTGTTGTATTCTTTTCATTTTCGAAATCAAACTTTTTACAACAGTAATAGAAATGTAAAATTATATACCACATGAAGGAAAATCCAGCTAGTCCAGCTGATATTCCAGTCAAAATGCATTTATATTTTTCAAAAATCACAATATAAGCTTGGAACATAAATTGAGGTAAATACTGAAAACTTGCATTACACGTTTCAAGATTACGTACATCTTTAAACATAATATGAATTGATTCTATTAAGTTCGGTCGAAGTACTTTATTTTTATCGAATTTTTGTAGAATTTGTTGATATCTAAAAGAAAAAATTTAGTACATAAAAATTACCTATATATGTATATGTATTACATTAATTTTACATACCTAAACGGAACGCATAAAAGCATTAAATGAGCAAAAATCATTTGTTTAGTAAAAGTCTCATTACGTACTTTAAAAATGACTATTGAAACAAACTGGCACATTATTAAAGGCAAGAGAATTATGGCAAATGTAATCAAACCCCATTTTAATTCGGATGCATGTAAATAATATATCACAAGGCATAAATCTATTTCAAAAATAAAAAATTAAATTACATTTTTAATTAAATGAAATTTTGAAAGAAAACTTACCACTGATAAGTTCCGTTACAAATATAATTGCACTGAACCATATAAAATATGTTTCAGTAAAAAATTTAGATGAAGCTCTCTGTTCTTGTATAATCATTCTTGACTCAACTAAATTTTATTGAAGTTAATATCCAAAAGTGCTAAAAATATTACAATTTATTGGCAAAATATTTATAATTTGATACGTATAATTTTTATTCATAAAATATTTAAATTTAAATGATAAACAAATTTTTATCAATTAAGATAAAAAGATTCGGCTTCGATTCCGAATTAAAGTAAAAACTTTTTTTAAACTAAAATATCTCCTCATATTACAATCAGGTCAATATGAAACATGAAAATACAAAGTTTTTTTTTAAAGAAAAATTCCAAAAGCAGAAAAGAAAAAAAAAGGAAATTTAATGCATTTTTTCAGACAGGTTAATAAATTAACAAACCCATACATACATACAGGTGCTTATCGGCGAACATTTCAATAACTAAAATACTTTTTATTGATATGGTTTAGGCACCTAAAAAACGAAAGAGTATTATAATATGTATGTATAATATGTATGTATATGGGTATATAAGGTATAAGTAGATAAAAGAAAAGGAAGAGAAACACTAATTTAATGAAAGGATGAATCACTTTTAAATTCATACACCAAAAAATTAAATTATTAAATTTAAATTTCAAATCAGAATTGTTAAAATTTTATACTTCTTCATAGTTTTTAAGTGTTTTATAAAAAAATTTGAAAATTTTTCGAATATTTTCATTATTTGCAACTCATTAAAATATGCCTTCTGTATATGGCAAAGGAACTTTTTTATGAACAATTTCAAGAAATAAATATGTACTGTATAAAATACCGATTGATTTTATAAAACATTATTTCAAAATATTTTTCACAGAAAGTTGATCTTGATTGTCATTAAAATTATAATATAAATATGGATTTTTTAAATGCACAACATGTAAAAATTTTAATAAGAATTTTCCTTAATTGCACTTACTTGATAGAGAATGCGTTCGCTTTTCATAAAAATGCACACATGAGAAAAATGCAATACGTTTTCAATTAATCAAATAAAATTTTAATTACATTCCAAAATTACTGCATTTATATTTAATTCCTAATTAATTAAACCAAATTTTTTATTTAAATTTTAATAAAACAATTAAAACAAAATAAAAAATGAAAATCAAAATATTTAAACCCGCTTCAAAAGTTTTTAATTCGTATTCCGTTTGTTTTGAAATCAAAATGTCTAAACAAAAACACAATAAGAAAAAATGACATTTCAAAATAAATGGTACATGCCATTGAATATGACACACGATTTTACAGTACAACTCATTATATAAAAAATAATATAAATGCTTGAAATTTCTTTTATAGAAATTCTTTTAGAAAATTACAAAATTAATTAAAAAATAAAATAAACCAGCATAATGTCCTAAGCACAATAGACCAGCTTTCAAACTAAATAATTTGACAAGAAATGCACAAAAAATTAATTTCTGAGATATTGAGATGAAAATTTGGAGTTTGGAATTAAACATTTGTGACTGCGACCGCAAACTTCAACTTCTAAATTAGTTTGCTCTTTTTTATTTTTGCGGTTCCTGCAAAACATATTTTTTTTATTATTTTGACAGTATTATTTGCTAGGCTTTTTTTTGTTTTTGAAAATTTTATCGTGGTTTATAATTAGAAATTTCTTATTTGTTACAGCAGTTTAATTGCTTTTATAAAGTTTTTAAAGCTCATATTCATACATTTTTGGTTTTTTAATGCATAATGAATTTCATTTTGAACAAAATGAATTCTGTTCATGGTATTAAATTTAATAATGCAATAACTTTCATTCTAAATAAAACTGTTCTCAATAGGAATCGATAGAAAATTATTAATAAAAGTTTATAGAAAATTAATTTCCAATAAATTATTTCTATTAATCAATTATAATTATTGATTTCTATTATCAATTACAAAATTTGAAATCGTCGCACAACTTTTTACCTTATCAAAAAAACGTATAATTATAATATTATCTAAATTTAAACGTCAAGATGATATTGTAGTAATTTAATGAAATAAAAATGATATATTAATAATATATGCATGAAAATACATTTAAAAAATACATTTAATAAAAATCCTCTAATTGAATACAAATATTAATTCAAATTTTACGAGTTTTATTTATTAAATGAATTCAAATTATATGATTGAAATCAATATTTTCCGTATTATAAAATCAAAAAAAAAAGGGAGATAAGCACAAATTGATTGGACCACTAATTTATTTAAGAGAAAAATAAATAAAAGAGTTAAAAATTTTATATTAAATTCTCAACTAATTACTTAAAAATTACTTTATTAATATTTATACGTCATAACACTCGTAACAGCAGCACTATTTTAAACCGGTAAAATATTTATTAGAAATCAGCAACACTTTTTGATTAATTGTTTTGCTAGCAGCTGAATATTCCAAACTCTCTGTTTTGATTTTCTCCATTAATTTTTCTGAATTCTGAATGACAAAAAATGTACGTATCGTACTCTTCTGTAAAATTATACAAGATATGTATATAGTGTGAATACTGTAATTGCATATAGCATTATAGCCTTAAATTGTGAAAATTCAACTTTAAATATTCAATTACAAATTACAAATATTGTTAAAAAATAATACAGGTATTAATTATTTAAACTCAATTTACTATAAAATTATGTTTTAATCGATAACTTAAATTATACTAACATATTTAAATATAAAAAAACAAAAATAAAATTGAAAAGCGGCAAATATAGCAACAAAAATTATGTATGTATTAAGGAAAGAAAAAGAAACAATTACTTAAATTAATTTTTTTTTGGATAGAGAAGAATTTTCCTTTTGAATCACATTCTCTTTTAATATTTTTCCTACGGAGCTTTTAACAAAACATAAACGTAATAATTAGTTTCAGTTCCATTCTAACGAGTGTCAATAGTGGTGTTTGTTTTCAATTAATAAGAATTTTTCTAATTTAATTTCTATTTTGGAAAAATTCTTAATAAAAAAAAACTTTTCAATTGTTAACCCAAACAAGGTAAATAAATTTTTTTCTTACTAAGTATAATAAAAATCATAATTAAAATATTTATTTTAAGTGTTATGTAAATCAAATATTTCACATACATATATTTTAAGAGTAAAAAAAAGAATGAAAGAAAATTAATCAGTTGACGTAAAATTAATTAAGCTTGAGAAAAAAAAAATAATTGAATACTCTTTATCAGCACAGTTAAGGCAATGAAAATAATATTGTGATTATTTGTTCAATAATTTGACCTTTTTGCGAAGCAATAAATAAATAATTTTATTAAAACAAATCTTTCAAAGAATGTGATTTATATTTACATATAAAAAGTGATGACATAACACTTTAATGTCCCGAAAGAAAAGTGGATAACACCATAATATAATTATGTATGTAGGTACACAACATATATTTTTTTTATTTTATTTTCTCTTAATTTTTGTTTTATGCCGGTATTTTGGGTTTTTGTTTGTTTATTAAGACAAAAGTAAAGTATTCGTAAAGTATCGTAATAGTAAGATTTTAAAAGATTTTTTATCAATCTTAATTTTAAATATAAAGATGTTATGAAGGTAGATAACCTGGTGTATATCATGATATTTGAAAATAATTTAAAATAATTTATTGCGATGTATTAAAAATATTCCTCAAGGTCATATATTAAAAAAAATATGTATTAGCAAAATATGTAAATACTTATCATATATGACTAAATCAAACAACAGAGAATATTAGAATAAAATCGGTAGATGTGCAAGTAGGTAGGTAGTCTGGTATAGGTATACCAAGCACAAATTTAGGAAATAGTTTTAAAATGTGTAAAATTATTTATATTGCTTATTTACTGTTATCATAGTTCAAAAACCAAAAAAAAATATTATGTTATCAAGCAAATCTGAAGTATGTTCCGATTAGATTCAGTTTATGTAAAAGCTTAGTTAACATACGTGTGTATATGCATAACGTAGATTCATGTACATAGGTAGGTACCTGTCCACCTAGGTATGTAAACTACAAATAAATCGCATAAGAATCCAATAAAATAATGTGTAAAAATGTGATTATACAAATGATAAACAGCTGTGGCCTTTTTCAATAACACTTCGTAATATTACTTGTCTTTATTATATAATTTCAATCAATGTCTCTTATAAAATATGCGGCTAACTAGTATATATACATAGGTACATATATGTACTTGTTATAGAGATAAGTAGTTACAATTTATTAATCTTTTATTTATATTTTTTAGAATTATCTCTTACGGAAATATTTTTTCAATTTACACAGTAAGCCATAAACCATACACAACGCTAATGAGCTATTATTTTATGCCTTGTTTTGTTGTAATATGAATGTTGAAGCATTATTCTTATTATTTTTTTTTGTGTATGATTAAAATAGCATGTTATAAAATATTTTGCAAAAAAGATGAAAATTTAAATACTGCGCATGACTTGTTATAATTATTGTAATTTTTCTTTTTACTCAAATAAAATTATTTCATTATGTATTATTATAATTTACTTAATATAATAAAAATGACCATGGCATAACACACTTAATATTTTACAAAATAAATAAATTTCTATTAAAAGCAGAGAAAGAAACTCTGTAAGGAATTGTGATGCAAATTGTTTGAACCTTGTTTTTAAAAAGCAGCTATTTCCAAATTTTCATTCTAAGTTAACATTTTTACCATGTTTTTACCAATTTATTATACCGTTATTACCTAATAACGACAAAAATTTCTTTATTACTTACAAGGGTCTAGACGATCGGTCACAATTTGTTTCAGCTAAGTATCCACTTACCACATAATAAAATTATTGAATAAAATTGTAATACTAAGCGTGAAATATCACACCATGAGGTTGTTGTACTATTGTGCATTTATAGATTCTATCGTGTCATATAATGGATATGTAGATTCTCATTAACTAGTTAGTAATACCGTGTATTTTGCTCTAATTTAAATAATGTATAAATTAATTTTTAAAATCAATTTTTTTATGATTTTTTTTTATAATTTAATTTATTCCATTGACTTCACTTTTTTTAAGCAATCAATATAATGTATTTAAAATTCAATTAAGCTTTATCATTATCAAGCAATTTAAATTAACTAATTTGCGAGTCATAGTAGCAAATACGTATACCTATGTAGATATATTCGAATTCATGTAATGCAATACGTATACTAAGAATAAGCAAAGTGCTTGGTTATGTTTTAATATGCAAACTTGTGTACATATAAAAAAAGTTTCTTTATATTTTAATTAAAATTACAGTGAAGTAAAAAATAAATTAGTCAGTTCAATTCAAATTATGTAATTTTTAAATTACCAAAAAAAATGTTGGGCCAGTCCTGCCTACAACAATTTGTTTGATATTATTTCTTTAAATTAATTTTAATTAATAAAATTAACTATAAATATGGATTAAAGATTTAATCACTAATGTTTGCCGAAACAGCTTGTATAATTTCTTTTATTGCTCTTTTATAGATATCCGCAAAATATAGGATTGATTTGTGTTTTTAATATTTCTTTTGAAAAAAATTTTCAATTAAGATTCAATTAGAAAAATTATCACGAAAATAATCCATTTTCAAAACTAGGATAAGTGTTAGGATATGGAGTCCCTAAAATATTATGTAAATTAGATTCCTTGTAAAAACTATGTGAAAGTAGAACGACTAAATAAAACCTTACTTGAAGACTAAAAGTGTAATTCTTTGGATAAAATAGCATGACACTCTTATTCTAATTCAACATACGGTTCTTATTCGTCCTATTCAAAATAAGAAGCAAAAATCCCTCTTATGCAAATCGCAGTCATGCAATATCTTTAGAAATAAAATATGATTTAAAAATTAACATAGGATTTTCTTGTTTAAAATCATTTAGGCCCAAGGCCCATTTTTTTAGTAATTAGTCGTATTTAGCTCATTTGCAAAATTCGAAGAAAACTTTAATTTTTCATTTTTGCAAAAGTTGTTATATAAAATTTCACTATAAAAATGTAATAAAACTTTAAAATTAAGTTAAAAATTCACTTTTAAACTTTAATTTTTCTTTAAGAAAAATTTAAGACATAAAATTTTATACATATCCTAAAATTTTTTTAGACTTCATACAACAAACCAACCTAATGTAATATAGTAATATTTGAAGTAAGAAAGTTTAAATTTGAATTCAATTTCAAATTAGATTACATACAAAACTTCTAAAATTAAGCATAATACTATTAATTCTGTCCTTTTTTTTCGAAAATTTGTACCAATTTTTTCATGAGTGACAACACTGACTTCAACTGAATTTTGTAATAATAAGTCAGTTATAGCTAGAAAAATAATTTTATTGTTAATTCTTTTATTATTCGCTCAAGTTATTAATAAAATGGTTATAAATTTGATTGTCATTTCATACAATATAATGTACATATGATATTATCATACTGAAAAACTAGATTAAATAAATAAATAAAAATACAAATTGAATTGCCGTCAAACTGTCTAGTGAAAAAACAAAATTAAACATTGTGCAACTTTGTACAATATCCTCAAAATATTTAACAAAACATAAAATATACAAGGACATTTATTATGATAATGGTATGTCCCAGACTAAACAAAGCAAATGCGAATATACATCGACTATTTATGCCAATAATATAAATTCTCACGTGGTAAAAAGTTTTTATAGAAAAATAAATTTCTGTTTATACATAATATATGTGTAATAAAAATGTTTGTTTAATTTATTTATATTTTATTGCATTAAAATGACTTTATACACGCGTATTAAATCGAAAATATAAATCATAAAGTTATAAATACATAAGATTATTTAAGCTGTCAAAACAATCTATAAATATGTTGGTATCGCTGATATAAACTTGTTCTTACCGTTTCGACCGATTTCTGACTGTAAATTTGACAGTTTGTCTTACACTCAATCTTGCTATTTATTTGTGACGGCTGAAGAAAAAAATAATTTTGCAAAAGATATTCGAATTTAATAGGAAAAGGTAAGTTGTACAATTTTTTTATTAATAAAAATATTTTTTACATTGTTTAATCTGAAAAATTGATAGAAAAATATCAAAGAATATTGTAAAATTTTTATTTTTAGGTCATTCGCAAAAGTACATTACTAAACACGGAAATTTACTTTTTTCTTTTTTTGTATTGATTTTTATTAAAAATAAAAAAAAATGAAACCAGCTGAAGTAAAAAAAGATGATCCAGTTGAATTGGAAACTCAATTTATATTACGTATACCCGAAGAACCAGCAAAGGTTTTACATGAAGCAATTCAAAGTGGATCTAATTTAAAAGATAGGTTATCTATTAAATTAGAGAATGATGTACGATACGGTGAAGTTAGATTTGATCACTGGCTATTACATGCAAAAGTTTTAGATTTACCAACTATAATCGAATCACTAAAAACAATTGATAGTAAAAGTTTTTATAAAACAGCAGACATTTGTCAAATAATGATATGTAAAGAAGAACCTGATAGTCCACAAGAAGAAGAATCACCAAATAAAGCGAAAAAGAAAGATCCAAATAAGGTTGATAAAAAATTTTTGTGGCCTCATGGTGTAACACCTCCATGTAAAAACGTTCGTAAAAGACGTTTTAGAAAAACTTTAAAAAAGAAATACGTTGAAGCACCAGAAATAGAAAAAGAAGTTAAACGTTTACTTCGAATTGATAACGATGCAGTAAGTGTTAAATATGAAGTAATTAATGAAGATGATGAAAATATTAAATCAGATCAATTAGATAACAATAAAGAACCAGGACAAAATGAAACTGATGATGATAAACAAGATGAAAATATGAGACAAGATCAACAAGTTAAACGAAAAGCACCTGCTGATTCTGATGAAGATGGAGAAGCTAATATTAATCAACCATTAACACCAAGAGGATTAGCAGAACAAGATATTTTCGGTGGTGAAGTATCTTCATCATCGTCAGATGAAGAAGAAACTAGAATATCAAGAAATATGCGTGAAATTCAAGAGAATAGTAGATTTTCCGCTGAAGATAGTAGAATATCTGAATATTCTGTTAGTGGTGCAAGAGGTGTTGGTAATGACGGTGTCAGCGGTGGTCCAAATGAAGAAGGAGAATCTTCACGTAATGGTAAAAATGTTGTTACGGAATTCGACAAAACAATGTTTAATGAATTAAAAGATAGTTCAGACGGACCAAATGATGGTAATGATGGTGCTATGTCATCAGAATATTTCGACCAACAAAAAGATAATTATTCCGATTTTGAAGATTTATCTGAACCGCACTTGTCTAAAGATGAAATTAAAACAAAAATATTAGATTTAAGACAACAATGTGATGAATTAAAAAATCAGCAAAATCAAAAACAAACAGAAATTTCTTCAATTCAAAATCCTACTTTAAAACAGAGATTGCAAGATGTTATGGATAATTTGTTGAGCCAGATTGTTGAAAAAGAATTACAAATTCAAGAATATCAAAATATGTTACAAAAAGTTGCTAATGAATAAATATCTAATAATAATACACACAATGACCTAATATTTATTTTGAATAAATTTTTCAGCGATCGTATATAATACTAAAATTATTATGTAAAAGATTAATTAAAATAAATGTAATAAAATTCTATTATAAAATTTGTTATAATAATTTATCATATTTTACGGTGGCAGAGAGTTATTGGTAAAATGTTTTTGTCTTTAAAGGATGCTTTATGTTAGATCATTGATAATTAGTGCAAAGAAAGAACAACTGCCATAGTTAAATAAAAAGTATGTGTTTTAACTTACTATAAAATATCTTTTGAGTTTAAAGCTTGAAACTTTCATTCAAACGTCTTAAACACGCACATTTTTGTCTTTAATTTTACGTTTTTCAATTGTTTTATTAAGTAATGTTACCAAACATTATCTTAAAAGCTATTTTATAGTTACCTACCTGTTGATGGGAAAAAAATTTTATTTTACTGATTTATTAAAATAGTGAAAAATAACCAAAGTTATATAGAAGTTCATTTTTTTCGATCTTATAAAAGAGAGTTAATGCTGATTTGATTGAGTAACATCTTCCGAATTTTACTGTGAGCCATAGTATTTAGAGACCCGAATTTTTCTTATCAGAGCTTTCTTTTACAGCGCATTTCATCTAACATAAATGTCTTGTATTATTTTATGCATATATATGTACGTATATACCCGAATAGTTAAGAGTTAACTTAAAATTGAAAACATGTCTGCAAATTCTTTTAAAACATAAATTTTATATTTCAAACATTAAAAACAAAAAAAAATTCTGCTTCCGTTTTATAATCAAAATAACTAATTTACTTATTTATTTCAGATTTCAAATCAACCAAATTTCTTGTCAAGGATAAGAGGATAATGATTTAAATCTTTAATTTAACACGAAAAGGAAATTAAAGGCGCCTTAAAATAAAAAAATTTCAAAGTGTTCAACTTTACAAAATCGAATTCTCAAAATAAGAATTGAACTTTTTGAAAAGGAACATAAAAATTATATTAAAATTCAAAATTTTAATTTTCGGTTGTGAAGAAAATTCTAAAATCAAAAATTAAATAATAAGAATTTTTCCTATATTGCGTGAAAGAAAAGTCTACTCTAAAATACTCAAATTATTATTATTCTTAAGGTGAACGTTTACGCAAAACTATTAAATTAAACCGAAAATAATTAAGAGAAAATTTTCTTATCACATTATTTAAGAGAAATTTTATTAAAGAATTTTGAAGAGAAACTTAATATAAAGGAAATAATAAAAAAAAACAATAACAATGTCTTCTGTTAGTCGTTTATTAAGTAGCAGCGCAGCAGCAACAACAAAAAATCAGCTTAATAAATTCTCTTTATTAAATACAAAGCCTTCTGTTAAGGCAACAGCAGCAACAACTACAGCATGTCGTACAAAAAGCTCTTCATCATCATTTGCAGCAGCACCACCAATGCTGAATACAATTATTTTAAATGACAATTACAATCAGTCTAACTTAAATACTCAATGTGGCGATAGTAATAATATAAATGCCGGTTTTTCACAAAAAATCATTAAACGTTCATCCAGTAGTAACAGCAGTAATTGTACCAGTTCTATTGGTACAACAACATCATCAACATCAAATTCGAATTTATTAAATACAAATTTAAATAATAATAATAACAATATTGAAACAAACGCACGCAATATGGCAACTACAAGTGGAAATTGTTATAATGTCAGTGTTGATAATATTAATCCAAATTTCATTGTTATGGAATATGCTGTTCGTGGACCATTAGTTATTAGAGCTGGTGAAATTGAAAAAGAATTACAAGCTGTAAGTTGAAAAAAAAAAAAAACAAATTAATTTTATTTAAAACGCGATTTTTTTTTCGATAATTACATTTTAAAACTTGTGTAAAAATACATAAGTATGTCCATATATTAGTACATACAATTTACATTATGTTCTTTGATAACAAGGGGTAGGATTTTTTTTTATCCTTTTTCTTTATTTTAACTTATACTTGTAAGGGAATTACAACAGAAAAAAAATTTGTGTATGTATAGAAGAAGATATTAAAACAGGGAAAAATGTAAGGCAATTTTTACAAAAAATGTTAAATTTATATTACACAGACATAACATGAGCGCCTATAGAAATTGGAGTAAATTGTGAGTTCGAAATTGTGTACGTGCCACAGTCAATTCCTTTATATATTAAAAATTAAAATAGGCATTTCTCTTCATTCATGAAACACATGTCAGTACAGTACACCGTATATCATGTATAATGAGACCCTGTATAGTATAGCACTACAAATTTATTTCTATAGATTTAGATATAGAACAAATTACATATATTAATACCTTATTAGTGAGTTTGTGTTTGTGTTAAGAAAATTTTTTTAAATATTCCATTGATAAGTATTTTGTGAACGCATTAAATTTGTGTTAAAATAAAATGTTGATAAGGCAAGGTTAAAATTTTGTGATATTTTTTTCTCAATTAAATTTAAAATTAAAATTGGAAGTTTTAAATAATAGATTTAAGAGCCTAGAAAATAATACGTTGTGTCTGACGTTGGAAAATTAAATACATGTAAACAAATTCAGCTACCCACCTACCTATTTATTACTTATTAATTCAATTTAATTCACTTATCGCTTAAAAATTTCTGTTTCTGTTTTTGTACCAATTCTGTATAACTATACTATATAATAATTTTATTCAATTAAAAATGTAAATTCAGTAAAATTTCAGTAAGTAATAATTTTTGGCGCGTTCTTAAAAGTAACTAATTTGGAGGTGAATTAAATATTTGACCATTTGAATATTATCTACTTAAATATAATTTTAATTTAAAAATCATTTTTTTCTTGATTCCTTTAAAATTAATAATATACAATATATACATAATTAAATTCCAAAACAAAATTGATAATGAATGAAAAAAAACGCATTTACACCTGTTATTCGAAAAAAAAATGTAGTTTATTTACTAAACAACAAGTACACAATGTTGTTTGCAAACAAAATGTGCAGTCTATTGTGCAACAGCTGATACATGCATGCTAGTGCAAAAATTTTATTCCAAATAGAGCTACTTTTTCTTTTATTCACAACATTAATAAAATTTTCTTTAACTTATACATAAGTTGGAGAAAATAAAAAAAAATAATAAAGTTATTCTATGTTTGTAGAATTTCTAAATTTCTGACAAACACTGCTAAATACGTAAATGCATTTATTAAGTGCAATAATAATCTTAATGAAATTGTGATTAACATTGTTTAAAACAATGTGAATTTCATACCAAATTATCGATATTAAATGAAAACCAAAGATATTTTTAGAATTATTTTTAACAAAAAAATTCGCTCATAAAATATTTTATTTACACGTACATCAATAATTATTTATTTAGTTTTTCTTTTAATTTTATTTATTTTCTTCAATAATCTCTCATATTCTATAAATTATTATCTTTAAAGTTCATTACAATGAATATGACGAATTATTTTCATTGTACTCTGAAAACAGATTCAAAACAGATCCGATAGAATATTCAAAGTTTTTCTATTTCGTTGCAATTTTTAATAATATTTATTATAAAGAAAATTTAAAAGTAAAAAAAAATAATAAATCAAATATTTGCGCGTTTTTCTTATTCTACACAATTTTAAATATTGAAATTTTTTTTTTTTTTGTAAAAATGTTAAAATTTTTAAAAGCCAAATAGGAAATAAAAAAAAAATGTGATTTTCTTTTGCTCATTCTTTTTCTTTTGGGTTTTGTGAAAAACATGCGCTCTGCTATAAAATTGAGTACATATACAATTTTTGTTGGTTCCTTCATGAAAATTATATTAGATAGAATTCTTGTTTTTCGTTTTTAATGAATATTCAAAAAATCGAATTTTGGATCACAAAATTCATGCAAAAAATTGTATGATTTTTTAGAAATACTAGAAATTCTGTTTCATAATATCTTTTGTTTAAGAGATGCGATTTGTGAGTCTCATATTCACTTATAACAGAATAAATTTTATTTATGAATGGTAAAATGTAATATGCTTACATACATATATAAATATGTATAAATTTTTGTCTATATTGTTGTAAAATGTATTAAGTTTTCCCTTTTAAAATCTTTCATACTTATTTTTGCCCTATTTGTTGCTTCTTAAGTTAGAAATAGAATCAAAGATAAGTAAATGAATTACAAGAATACCAGCACAATTAATTTATGAATTTTAATTAATTAAAGTAAGAAATAATTTTATGAAAAATTATATTTAATTCAAATCGTAAAAGAATTTAACAATTTGTCAATTTGACTTTCTAATTAAAGTATTTAAGAAGTTCAAAAACAAAATGTTATGACTTGACTTGGTTGTCATCTCATTTAAATCTCAATTTACAATTTAAAATTTAATATACGTAATATTTAATTTAAAAAAATTTTAGTAATATTAAAATCTAGTAATTTAAAATCTTAGTAATATTAAAATTTTCTATAAAATTTTCTCTATAAAATTTGTTGAAAAATTCGAAGTATGTAGTTAATATTAAAAGCTTATTTAAATTAATATGTAATAAATATTATATTACATTAACCACATGTATATGTGTACATGAATGTTTATGTATTTAGATTATTAAATAACTAAGTACGTATTGTAAATAATAATTTATTATAAAAAAAAATTTCTAACAAAATCGTGTAAATAACAATTTTAAAATTCTTACCACCTTAAATTTACATACTATATTTTATACAATAAATATATGAATGTTTGGATAGATGTCCATATAACACATTTGTATCAACATTTATATGTATATCTATATAGCATGTAATTTAAGAGTTATTATAAACATTGTATGTAGGTTGATACGTTGATAAAGGCGTAGAATATCATTTCTTATTCTTACTAGTGTACATTTTTTCTATAAGAAATTATTTATAAAGTATATTTATTTAGGAATGCTGACATTTTTTAATGATATTTTGAAATGTTCCAATATAAGAAGGCAAAAAAGAAAAGTGTCTAGTTAAATCCTTTTTTGTTTTCTCTTTTCTTAAATATTTTTTGTAGAAAATATTTAAGTTTCAGGATGTGATAAAGGAGATGAAATCTGTAACTAAGAATATACAGAGTGTTCGAGTATATCGCTCGGCAGTGCTTTCAAGGTGGCATCATAGAATAGTTCTAGTTGATAAAAAATAATAAGACATCTTCATTTTTCACACTTTTTTCAAACCCTAGAGTTAATTTTCCTTGAAAGTATGCTTATTTTTAAATTTCTTCTTATACTCATTGAATATGAATATATATATTGTCGATTTAGTAACCTAATTTTGAAGTTCTATTTTAAAGAAATTTTTTTTTTAGTAGCGCATTATAGAGATTCAAGATTTCTTTAATTTCCTAATTAGTTTAATATAAAATCAAAATTTTTAAGATTTTTTTTCAGTAATTTTCTTTTCCTTATACTGTAATATAATCAGAAATGTACTCTGTTAACATTTTATATTTTTCATATCCAAAGAACAAGTTGTTCAGTTCTGACATTTGATCAAGTAGTTTTTTCATAGTAAAAACGTAATGTAATGTAAGTCACATTCACTCTGTGTATGGAATATTTATATAGAGATATTTATGATTAATAACATGTGCGACTCAAAATCTACGTTACTTATGTGTACAGTTAAGAAATATATTCCATAGAGAAAAATTCTTTGAATTTCTAATTAAATTCAACAGAAAATGAAAATATTTTTATTTTATCCTTCTACTTCTGTTATCTGTTCTTTTGACCTTTTCTTCTACTTCTGTTATCTGTTCTTTTGACCTTTTCTTCTATATTTTCATTGAGTTCAAGGTTGATTCTTATTTACTGTCTTTCGTAGCTGAACATAATATTGTATAAATATACTGGCGAACAATAACAAAAATAAAGTAGATGTTGCATCATATCAAAATACAATAATAAAATTCTCTCTCATCCTTATCATAATTTTGCCCTTGAAAGTGGGAAGCTCATCAAAAAATTTTACGTCCATGATGTTTTCTATTGATTATGTGTAAAAAATATTAATTAAAATTCTATAACATTTCAAAATATTTCTAATTAAATTCATTATTGAAATGATTTTTTAATTATTTATTAAGATATTTGACCGATTGCCTGAGAAATTTTTAATCCTGTTATGGATATTCAACGAGAAGACTTCTGTTTAGGGTTTTTTGTTTGCTAACAGAATGGTACATAAATGTCAAAATTGAATTTTCTGAACAAATAACTAGGTCAATATTACATTTTAATTAAAATGAAAGAATTGTATTTCTTGTGAAAGTTTAATAGTAGTAGTTCCAGTTTATTTTTACATATTGATGTTATCTTTTTTTAATATTATCTGTAATTATTATGAAATCTGAATCTAATAATTTTTATATAACCAAATAATATTAATTAAAATAATTAATAATTTAATTTTATATTTGGATATACATAGTTAAACATATCAGAATTAAACAATTATAGCAGTCGTAAAATATTCAAAATAAAGACCCAATAAATTAATTGATTGATAAGCATTGACTTGAATATATTTGATAAACTATTTTCTGTATGCCTTAAATTGTGACATAGTTTGTAAGAATTTAACAAAAAAAGTTCGATTTTTAAGTCTAGAATTTGTGTCATTCATTAATTGAACACTGTCTCACAGAAATTGTATTTTAAAACTCAATTAACGATCTATAAAATTAAAAAAAATTGAGCAAAGAATTAAATTGTCAAATTTTTAACTACAATTTTTTTAAAAAT